GGGGTTTCGATAGGCTTAGGGGTTCTACTTGGAGGTTCAGGGGTACTTACAACCCCAATACTTATAAGCCTCTAAGTAGGAAATAAGTAGACTTCTAAACGCACCCTTTCTTTCGCAAGACCGGTCTGGAGATGTCATGACGGTTTAGGGTTTCGGGTTTAGGGTCTAGGGTTTAGGGTTTAATTAAGGGTTTAAGAGTAAACCCAATGCCCCAGAACTTTCAATATCCCTAAACCCTATAGACGCTAGACACAACTCTGACCCCATGACTTAAGGAATCGTCCCGCAACTACGGCCGATATTGGAAGTTCCACAGGCATAGGCCCACCACACTTGGGTTACTAGAAGCCTAGAGGACACAAAAAATTGGGCCCTCAGAGAAGTACAGAAGTTTTCGGGTTTTCGGGTTAGGGTTTAGGGTTGGTAGGTCATCATAAGCACTGTTTTTTTGCTCCTGGTAGAACCCCTGCCCCTAATGAAGTAACCCCTCAACCCTAAATGGTCATCGGCCTCCCTACTTGCGTCGTTGGGGCTTTAGGGTTTAGGGTTTAGGATTTCGGGTTTAGGGTTTAGGGTTTAGGGTTTATATAGGGTTTAGGGTTTGAGAGCTAGTCTTCGGGCTTGGAGTTAAGTTGTCCTGCAGCTGCGAGGTGTGGGCTCGTGAGCGGGGCATCAACAACCGACAGCGAGGCACGGCGGTCTAGGCTTTAGGGTTTAGGGTTTAGGGTTTGGGGTTTGGGGTTTGGGGTTCTGGGTTTAGGGTTTCGGGTTGAGGGTTTAGGGTTAGAATGTTATAGGATTCTTAGTAGCCCAGTGGTACGCTTTACCCCTTTTTTTGGCTATGGCTTCCCTTGTAAAGTAACCAACCCCAAAAAGGGTGCCCTTATTATAATGTGGTTGCCGGGCTACTAAGGGCTGAGGGAGGATTCTTAAGGTCGTAATCAGGGTCCCTTCGTTGCGCTATCTTATCATGGTATTTATGAGGGGGACCCCCATATTTGGGAAATGCCTATGTGTCATGACGACTGCCTAGCCGTCGACCATAAACACCTGAGCTCTTTCTTGGCAGTTCGCAAAGTGCGATCTAACCCTACACCCTAAACCTAAACCCTGGGCGTATTGCTACGCACTGTAACCTGGCTTTTGGAGTACTGTACTTTAATACTTTTTTGGGTTCTGGGTTCCTATTGTAGCTACTTATACCTAAAAAGTATATACTTTTTTTTTCAGGGTCTACTCCAAAGGTAGGTAACAGTCACTACAAAAGGTACCACCATTTGGAGAGCTTTACCTTTCTCCAACGCGGCAGGGCATGCTCGCCATAAACCGCAACCCCTCCGAAAGACCGAAAGCCCTAAGCCCTAAGCCCTAAACCCGAAACCCTAAACCCTAAACCCTAAACCCTAAACCCTAAACCCTAAACCCTAAACCCTAAACCCTAGCCACTCCTAAGCCCTCAACACCCCTTCTTACAGCCCTAACTACACCTGATAGCGCTGAAATGGGGTTAAGGGAGGCCTGAAGTGCTTGAAGTTGAAGACAGGGGATAGGAGGCTTAAATTTAGGGCTGTGGAGGTTCCCTAAACCCTAGACCCTAGACCCTAGACCCTAAACCCTAAACCCTAAACCCTAAACCCTAAACCCTAAACCTTCCGGGGGAGGGGGGTGAGGGGGCTGCTGCGAGGAACATTCTCCTCCTTTGCCCTCACGCTACCCGGCTCGCAAGAGACAGAACCCTGAGAGGCCAACATGTATTTGGGTTTAGGGTTTAGGGTTTAGGGTTTAGGGTTTAGGGTTTAGGGTTTAGGGTTTAGGTTTAGGGTTTAGGGCTAGGGTTTAGGGCTAATCTTATAATTAGGAAGCACATATACTGATGACAGTACAGGTTTTAGGGTTCAGGGCTTATAAGGTGTGGGTCTGATTTGAGTGGCATTCTGAAACTGGGGGTTTTTACAGCATAGTGCTTGCCCCAACCCTACTAACAGCCTGGGGGTTTAGGGTTTAGGGTTTAGGGTTTAAAAGTCGGGAGCCCGAATTCCCCAACTAGTAGGATTCCCTTCTGACAAGGATGCTTTGTTTATGTTGAGCTTAATCTGTTTCTGGGCTACATTTGGCCAGAGGTTAGTCAACACTGGTTGAAGGTTGCTGGGCTTGCCACCTAAACCCTAAACCCTAAACCCTAAACCCTAAACCCTAAACCCTAAACCCTAAACCCTAAACCCTAAACCCTAAACCCTAAACCCTAAACCCTAAACCCTAAACCCTGAACCCCAGACCAGGTCTTTTGAAGGCTGCGGGAAGCATGTATTTGGCGCCATCGGCCACGTAAGCTGGCTAATCCCTCTTCCTCGTGCTGGCGTCCCAAGGGTCCGATCTAGGGCTTAGGGTTAGGGTTAGGGTTTAGGGTTTAGGGTTTAGGGTTTGGGGTTTGGGGTTTGGGGTTTAGGGTTCAGGGGTAAACCCTGAATCTTTGCCTTTTCCCATCACCAGCGCAAGGCTTATGCTCCTCCACGTCCTCCAGAGACGGCCCTCTCCAGTGGTTCCGTCACTGCAGGAGACTAGACCGTTTTGTTTGGCGACGCGGTTTAACCTCATGATAGTTGGTTCGGCTCCTATACTACGGCATATCGGGAGTATTCAATATTCGGGGGCAGAGGGGCTAGCTAAGCTTTAGTGTTTATGGAATTTGGGGGGGTGTCCTTGAAATAAAACCTTCCATTTAGGGTTTAGGGTTCAGGGTTTAGGTGAGAGCAGTGACCCCAAACCCCAAACCCCAAACCCCAAACCCCAAACCCCAAACCCCAAACCCCAAACCCCAAACCCCAAACCCCAAACCCTCAACCCTAACCCCAAACCCCTAAACCCTAAACCGCGACTACTTTGAGCCTCCCCCTGTGAGCAGAAGGACATCGCTGTCGCCAATGGCACTCCAGCGCTGTACCTCTCGGGGGTGGACTGCCGATTCTGCAGTTCCTCGGTCAACTCCAGGGGGCTCGGTCTTTGTGGGGGGTGGGCAGGGTTTAGGGCTTAGGGCTTAGGGCTTAGGGCTTAGGGTTTAGGGTTTAGGGTTTAGGGTTTAGGGTTTAGGGTTTAGGGTTTAGGGTTTAGGGCTTAGGGTTTAGGGTTTAGGGTCGCACGTCAGAGCATGGGGAGGGGGTCCAAGCTTAGGGAAGCCCTCGGGAGCCTCAGGGACCATTGGGTTTAGGGGTCCAGGGTTCGGGTTTAGGGTTGGGCCCCCGCCCCCCACCCCCCCCCCCACACCCCACAGAAACCTATAACTCGAACATCGTGCTGCAAGCCCGAGCAAGCTGTGGCCGGGGGTGACAGGGAAGGTGCTTGAAGCCTAACCCTGAAGCTGAACTTAAGGGGCATAAGGAGGGACCCCTAGAAGGGATCCGTAATCTTGTTCCCCTATATATCCCTCTAAATATACCTCCCTCTATTCCTAAGTAGCCCCTACATGACCCCTTAGGTCCCTTATAAGGGTCCCTCCTGAGCCGTCAACCCGATAAACCCTAAACCCTAAACCCTCAACCCAATCCCTCTCAAACTTTCTCAGCCCCGTGGGATTTGGACTGACCAAGGTGTCCTGAGGCGCAAATGCGGATTTATTTCCCGGAGTCCTCCAAAAACCACAAACCCTAAAACCCTAAACTAAACCCTAAGCCCTAAGCCCTAAACCCTAAACCCTAAACCCTAAACCCTAGCCCAAATCCATGCCGAGGCGACGCAGAGGAGATCACCGCGACTCTGCAGGAGCAGCAAGGTGACCTGGGGCAGAACAAGGAGCTGCTGGGGGGTAGGGTTTAGGGTTTAGGGTTTAGGGTTTAGGGTTTAGGGGTTAGGGCTTAGGGCTTAGGGCTTAGGGTTTAGGGTTTAGGTTTTCGGGTTTAGGGTTTAGGGTTTGGGGTGACCTTGGGCAGAACCAGGAGCTGCTGGGCCGCGAAGAGCTACGAGGTGTTTAGGGTTTAGGGGTTTAGGGGTTTAGGGGTTTAGGGGTTTAGGGGTTTAGGGGTTTAGGGGTGTAGGGGTTTAGGGGTTTAGGGGTTTAGGGTGTGTTTAGGGGTTTAGGGTTTAGGGTTTAGGGGGGTTTAGGGGTTTAGGGGTTTAGGGGTTTAGGGGTTTAGGGGTTTAGGGTTCAAGGGGTTCAGGGGTTCAGGGGTTCAGGGGTTCAGGGGTTCAGGGGTTCAGGGGTTCAGGGGTTCAGGGGTTCAGGGGTTTAGGGGTAGGGGGTAGGGGTTTAGGGGTTTAGGGGTTTAGGGGTTTTGGGGTTTAGGGGTTTAGGGGTTTAGGGGTTTAGGGGTTTAGGGGTTTAGGGGTTTAGGGTTTTAGGGTTTTTGGGCTTGGCTTAGGGCTTAGGGTTTAGGGTTTAGGGTCTGAGGCCGAGGGTTCCTGAAGTCTAGGGCATAACGCTGGGGTTTGGGAGTATTTTGGTCTCGAGAGAGCTTTGTGGCACCCTTCCACGTGACTCCTTTTAGGAGACCGAAGTCTGGAAAGGGTTTAGGGTTTAGGGTTTAGGGTTTAGGGTTTAGGGTTTAGGGTTTCGGGTTTCGGGTTTCGGGCTTCGGGTTTCGGGTTTCGGGTTTCGGGTTTCGGGTTTCGTAGGGTTTCGGATCAGAACCCAGAGTAGGCCCTTGTTTATTTTGAAAAACTTTCTGACACGGCAACTTTTCGGCTTGCACGTTCGCTTTTGTTTTGCGCCAACAATGACTTTATGGGAGCTCTGTGGACGTCCGGTCGGCAATATTCAAGATCGAGGGGGTAGACACAGAGGGCATGGACGAGGCCAAGAAGTCGGCCCTGCTTGAGGAAATCTTGACTATGTCGGAGAATCGCTTTGGGCGCCAAAGGACACACAGCTGCGCGAGAAGTTGCAGCGCCTCAACAAGTACTGCTTGGTCTACTCCCAGGGGCCAAAGAACACGCATGGCAGCGAGTCCAGAGAAAGCATCGGCAGCAAGTGAGCTAGGGTTTAGGGCTTAGGGTTTAGGGTTTAGGGTTTAGGTTCCCTTACAACCCCCCCTGTAAGCCAAAAAGGGGCACCCTTTTTTATTGCTACGTTATCTTGGGTCTAGGATCGGGTGTAGGGTCGAGGGCTTAGCTTTCTCCACCACTGGTGGTGGAAAACCTTCGTTCCGAAACCCTGAACCCTAAAGCCTCAGCTCTAACCCCTCAACCCCAAACCCTAAGCCCTAAACCCTAAATCCTAACCCTAAACCCCTAAACCCCTTAAACCTTCCGAGCCCAGTTCTTGGCGGCATCTATCTCCAGTAGCTGGCAACCCTGCAGTTCCCAAACCTCTAGGAACATAGCCTAAGGTTTAGGGTTTACACTTAGGGTTTTAAGGTTTAGGGTTTAGGGCTTCGGGTTTAGGGTTTAGGGTAAGAATGGCCTAAGGCTTATGTTCCTTTTTCGAGGCTTGGGGTTTCAGATTTAAAGCCTCAAGCCTGAGACCTGACCTCCTTTTCGCTCGCTTTGGCCCGGAGGAGTCGCTTGCAGCACTGCTTTTCGAGTTTTTCCGTTTTTTCAGCTATGCCCCTCGGCCAGTACTCCAGTCCAGGGTATCGGGTGTTAGCAGGCTTCAGGGGTTTCGGGGTCTAGGGTTGAGAGGAAACCTTAATGTGTAGCCGACGTTAGCCCCTATCAAGGAGGGGCTCATACGGGATCCACGTCGTCACAGTCGCTTATCTTGAAAACTCTGAGCTGCGGGGGCTGTACAAAAAACCCGCGAAGGACCGTCGAGTCCCCGAAGGGTCCATGTACCTCTATAGTATATACTTGGGCCCTAAGGCTACTACTCTTTAAGGCCCAAGTATATACTACAGTGGTACATGGACCCTTAGGGTTCTAAAGAGCTTCCCTCAAGTCTGTGGTCGCCGAAACGTGTCCTTTTTGCCGCAGAGGAGTCCCTTGCACTGGGTGAACTCTAGATGGGGTTGGCATTTTCTTGCCTTTGTCAGGTGGGCTTGAGGCATCATGAAAGCGAAAAATAGATTCCTTGTGAGTTCCCATGGTCTTTGTATCCTCGGGTGGGCATTTCTTTGGGATGGGTTGAGGTTTTAGAATTTAGGGTTTAGGGTTGAGGGTTCAGGGTTGAGGGTTTTATGGTTGAGGCTGTAGGGTTCAGGGCTGAACCCTGAGAGTCCCTATCTCCAGATAGGTTTCGGGATTGGTTTGGGGAGTAGGGGTGCTACGAACAGGAAAGAGTTCGGGTTTAACCCCCTAGACTCCGTTTAGGGTCTAGGTTTTAGGGTTTAGATTTTAGGGTTTAGGGTTTAGGGTTTAGGGTAACTAAACCTTCAAGGTTTAAAGGGTTATGAATCTTAGTCCCGGCAAGGAATACGAGCATGGAGTCATCGCGATTCGAAGCCCTTCCGGCATCACGCGCGACGAAGAAGGCTGGCCACGTCTTTTTAGCAATGACGAGTATTTGCTACACCAAGCCCAGACCACACCAATTATGCTACACTTCGCCCAAACACATATGCCCTTACCCTCCCGTCGAAACCCCCAAACCTTGGGCGGGCCTGAGTCCACCCCTTACCATCAGGTTGTAGAGCCTATAGCATTGCAGAGTGTGAGCTTGCAGTTCTTGGGGCCTATTCCACATCATGGAGCTCGATATTCCGAAGCGTGTGTTGTAGGTAGGTAGGTATGTTTGTTTGTATGTAGGTATATGTATATGTATATGTATATGTATATGCATATGTCGCAAGCATACCTAGACTCTCCCCCCACCCCCCCCTCCCCCCAAACAACCAAAAAAAAGTAAGAACTTTGTCAGATGGCTTTCCTTTGGGCGGCTTGGGTTGAGGGATCCGGAGGTTTACGGTTCAGGGTTTAGGGTTGGGATGTTCCCCCCTATACTAGCTGTCCTTATTGGGGAATATTTATCGTACCCCCTATTATAATCCCCATTAAGGACTGTTAGTATAAGGCGGAACAAAGGTTTAGGGTTTAGGGTTTATTTTAGGGTTTAGGGTGTCAAGCATACAGCCCGACAACCAGGGCGCTCCTTCTTCATCGTGGAGAACCCCTTCGAACCCGGCAAGGACGTGGCCAACATCGAGGCACTTTTTTCGGGGTTTTGGGGGCATAATAGCCCTAAACCCTGCCTAAACCCTAATCCCTACACCCTAAACCCTACGTTGGGATTTGCGCACTTCAGCCCTGCATTCTCTAGGGGCGTTGGACGGGTTGGTGCCTATTCTGGGGGCCCGACGCTCTAAACCCCAAAGCCTGGAGACTGTGGGTGTTTTGGGGCTGCCTCAGACCTCGGCTCCCGCAGCCCAAGAATCTGAAGGCCCAAACCCCGAAAACCTGTAACACCCTAACTCCCCCCGCAATAGCAATAGCACTAGGCATACGTGTGGTCGGTTCTTCTTGGGGTGCCCTGAATAATAGGGGATTTCAATAAGGGCCGAAATGGACCATATTTTAGAGAAAGTGACCTTTTGGAACACATGTCACAAAGGAAAAAGGACCAGCAAAAAGATTGAACCAATAGGAGCGACGGAAGGCAAGGGTTCATCTGGGCTGGTTTAGGGTTTGGGGTTCCGACGCCCGAATGAATCCCTAGAAAAGAGACTTACTTCCTTTGCTTGAGGTTGCATGCGCAAGGTGTTGCATGGAGCCGACAGCTGGACAACAGCTGGATTCCAAGCCCTTTACCACCGAGGGTTTATAGGGTTTTAGTTTTTACGGCCCGAACTGAGGTGTTAAGTGGTTGGGCCCTAAGACCGGAGGTACAAAGCCTCACATATCCTCAAAGGCGCAGAACCCTAACCTCCACCCAACCCCTGAGGCCCAAACCCACAGCCGGATGAGTCCAGAAATTCACCACACATAGCAACTACTGAAACTGCTGTATATAAAGGTTTAGTAGAGAAATTTCAGGTCGACTCTACGTGGGTACATGGCCCCCTCGGGATTATAGGGCTGTTTGAGTCAAGAAGCTGCGGCAAAGACCTGGGCCCTAAACCACAGCCCCCAAAACCTGACCCAAAATTCCTAAAGAGCCCTAAACCCTCAGCCACGAACCCTGACCCTGAACCCCAAACCCCAAACCCTAAGCCCTAAACCCCAAACCCTAAACCCTGTCCCCGAACCCTACGCAGGTCCGCCTATACACGCGGCTGAGGGAAGAGTTTCGCCGTGTAGGGATCCGAGGAGCAGTGTTGTTTAGGGTGCAGGGTTTAGGGTTTAGGGTCTAGGGTCTTAGGGCTTAGGGTTTAGGGTTGAGGGCTTAGGGCTTAGGGTTTAGGGTCTAGGGCTTAGGGTTTAGGGTGTTTGGGGTTTAGAGTTGAGGGTTGAGAGATTTTTTCGGCCAGGGTGTAGAGTTGAGGGTTCGGGGCTTAAGGTTCAGGGAATAGGGTTCAGGGTCAGGGTTCACAGGTTGAGGGTTGAGGGTTTAGGGTTTAGGGTCAGGTTTTGGGGAGGGTCTAGGGCTTAGGGTTTAAAGGAGGATGCTCTACCCGTTAGCGGCCTACCTGGTTTTCGGGTTCCGATGCCGTGTAGGTGGGGTTGCGTTGGATGGGTTGCTATTTTCCTTTGGAGCCTAGATCCTGAACAAAACCCTACACCCTAAGCCCCAAACCCTGAACCCTAAACCCTAAAGCCGAAACCGCCAAAACCCCCAAAACCCCCAAGGCCCAAAATGCCCATACTCTAAGGTAGAAAGGCCTCTAAACCACCCCTAAGCCCTAAGCCAACCCTAAACCCCAAACCCCAAACCCCAAACCCCAAACCCCAAACCCCAAACCCCAAACCCCAAACCCCAAACCCCAAACCCCAAACCCCAAACCCCAACCCCAAACCCCAACCCCAAACCCCAAACCCCAAACCCCAAACCCCAAACCCTAAACCCTAAACCCTAAACCCAGGGTTTTTATAGGGGTTCCCAGCACCCTGGGATCGAAGTAATGTCCCATTCCCCCGCTTACCCCCTCCCGAACAAGATCACAAACGCAAGCAATCTTTCACCAGAGAACCCAACCCACCCAGACAAAGTCCACAAAGCCAGAAAGCTCTGAACCCCTCGGGTTCCGCCCCCTCCCCCCCCCCTCCCGAAAACAAAAAACAACAACACACACCCCACATCCCTGACCCCGCCTGAGTCTAAGGTTGGAACCATGGGCCCCTAGTATGGCCCCTTACCCTTGGTTATAGGGATCCGAAGTACGGGCCCGCGTTATGGTTGGTGTATATAATTAAGGGGTATATAACAAGGACCCAGATTAAAAACCCATACTTGGAAGCCTAGAACAAACAAAACCTAAACCCTTAATCCTCAGCCCTAAGCTCTATAAACCCTAAATGCCTAAACCGAAAATCCCTGAGCCCGCCTGAGGCCCACGCCCTCCTTGCCGAAGGCGCCAGCCTCTCTTCACTCTGCGAAATGCCGCCGGCGCCGGGCTGCTTCGGCTCGATGGAGAGGGGCTGAAGGTTTCGGGTTAGGGTTTAGGGCTTAGGGTTTAGGGTTTAGGGTTTAGGGTTTTGGGTTTTGGGCTCATCTTCAACCCTAGGCCCTAGACTCTAATTAAACCCTTCCACATGCCGTGCGAGACCCCAGACCTGACCCTAAACCCTAGACCCTAAATCCTAATCCCAGACCTGAACCTTAAACCCTCAACCCTAGACCCTAAACCCTAAACCCCGAAGTCCCTAAAGCCCCTAAAGCCTCCGGAAGTGCCTAAAGCTTCCAGAGGCTCCTCAAGTGCCCAAAGCCTCAAGGCCCTGAAGTCGGAAAGTCCCCATCCCTGAATCCCTTGCAGGGTTCAGGGTTTACAGTACGGTTTAGGGTTTGGGGTTTGGGGTTTGGGGTTTGGGGTTTGGGGTTTGGGGTTTAGGGTTTAGGGTTAGGGTTTTAGTTCAAGCGTTGAGGGTGTAGGGGGCAGGGTTCAAGGCCCAGGAGGAAGGTCGGGTGCAGGTTTAGGGTACAAAGGTTCCCGAGCTATTTCCTGCCCCCCCCCCCCTTTTCCAAAAACAACTAAATAATTATAAACGAATCTATAGAAAGCAGCTTCCAGTCATTTCTCCCCCTTCCAAAAGATCCCGAAAGAAAGCAGCCTTCCAAAGACAACAAAAAGAGCTGAGGCTTGGATCCACTTGCTGGGCCGATCCTGTCCTTGGCCTGGTGTGTCGTTTTTCTCTTCATGGGGGCTTTGGGTTTTCAGGGTTTAGGGGTTAGGGTTCAGGGTTTAGGGTTTAGGGTTTGGGGTTTACGGCTTCTAAAGCCACACTGCCTTAGGCGCAGGGACGGAGCCTGGAACATGCACCATGTCAGTATTGGTACAAAGACATTCTGCTTGGAGGTTCATGGCACTTGCTAACCAATTGTAACTGTACTTAACTGTACTAATAACCATGCTAGGGCACGTAAGGGGCCTATCAGTGGGTTATAGGTACAGTTTTAATTGGTTAAGAAGTACCATGAACCTCCAACGTAGGACCCAAAGTAGGCCCATATATTAAGTCTTCAGGTTCCCTCATGAGCCCCCTTGAAGCCAAAAAGATCACCCTGGTTATTGCTAGGTTTCACACTGTGCGAATTAGTTTTAATATTCATGCTTCGTGTCACTTCATTGTACTAAGTATTCTTACGAAGAGCACATGAGATACATCTAAAGAATCAAGTGAGTGAATCTAATGAGCGAACAAGTGAACAGGGAACCGGCCATATTAAGAGGTCCTTCATGGTGCGGCTACAAGACACGCACGAACTGAGCGAGAGAACACTACAAAGGCAGTGAATGCAAAGAACGCCCTACTAGTAAACCCGAAACCCTAAACCCTAAACCCTAAACCCTAAACCATGTATAATCTTGCATTTGGAGCAAGCAAGAACACCATGAACAAGGTTAAGGTTGCACGAGCCGTGCGGTAATACCATGTGATTGCAAGGTTAGGTTGTCAAAGATGCTGGACCTGGGTGAATGACTGAGCGAAACAAGCCAAAGACCAAAACAGAAGACTCATGAACTCGCTTGTCAGAATCCTCGGCCCTAGATCCTAGACTCTCAGCAGGTTGGGAGACCCCAAAAGTCCAGGGAATCCCAAAACAGGGAATCCCAGGAAGGTATATATAGAAATGGAATGATCCTTGTAGCAATTTTCCGTCTGGACACCTAACCATCTACCTTCAGTTCCTTGTTGCTTGGCTCCCGTAGGGTCTTCTTCAATTGTGGTTTTAGAGGCGTTTTCGAGTCTAGGGATTTAGTGCGGTTTAGGGTTTTAAGAGTTTAGGATTTAGGGTTAGGATTGCTTAGAGTTGAAGGTCTACGGGCTCCGGCGAGTCCAGGGTTCATAGTGCCCTTTCTGCCCAGGCCAGGCGTGAATGCGCCGCTCTGCCCTCCCGCCAAAGGAAGCGGGCTCTGGCGCATGTCGGAGAGCAAAAGGAGCTGGGACTGAATAACTGTTAAAGGCTGTTAGAGTTTCTCACTCTCTCGGCACACACACACACACACATACGCACTCAGAAATATAAATTTAAATATGCATAAAATGAGCAAATGTATGTGTATATATATATATATATGCATATATATATATATATATATACATAAGCAGTTCAAGACATCGACAACCTAAACGCTGGACCACTTTTCTCCGACTGTAGGGACTGATGGTCAAACCTGAAACCTAAGCCTGTGCACCAGCAACCTTGCTGTCTTGACGAGCCCACACAAAAGCAGACCCTAAGCCCTAAACCCTACACCCTGAACCCTGAACCCGTAAAGTGTGTTTGAAGAAAGGTGGCTCGGCTTTTGTTGAACTTCTAGGGTTCGGTGTTGGGGGTAGTAGAGGGTTTGCAACATTCAGGGTGGAAGTTGAGGGATTAGGGGTGGTGTAGGTTGGGGTTTAAGGTTTGAGCGGCTTTCGTACTGCATGCCTGGTGACCAAAGCTGTACTTAGTCCTAATTAAGCCCTAAACGCCAAACCCTACACCCTCAAACGCTTTTTCCGGGAGTGACAGCTCAGCATCCCTTGTTCGCGGCAGTGCATAGAAGCCAGCACGATGGCAGCTTCAGCTTTGGTGAGACTTTCTTGCGGACTGCTGCTTCTGGTTGGGGCCACGGCCCTTGTCCAGATGCCTCCAGCCAAGCAGGTGCAGGTTCTAGGCTGTTTCGGAGGCACGGCTCCCAATGCAACTCGGTGCGAGGGTGGCAAGTGCCACTACATGTGTGTTACTCGGTAGGCCCTTGGGACATCTTGCTATTTTCCCTTATTGGGTTTAAGAGGATCCTATTCAGGAGTATTTTTCAGAGGGTACCCTAAACCCTAAACCCTAAACCCTAAACCCTGGTTCTAAGGGCCACCCAAGGTTCGGCCCAACCTCGACGGCATGGAGCTCGTCTGCGAGGCGAACGCAACCCTTCACCAAGTGGGCGTCAGCGCCGGCGGCGTGAGCTGCTTAGTTGCAGAGTCGGTAACCTTTTAAGGGTTTAGGGTTAAGGGTTTAGGGTTAAGATTTAGGGTTTAGGGTTTAGGGTTAACCTTTTTGGGGTAATAGAATTCCCTTAGAATCCCAAAGGTTAACCTTGAATTCCCCCAGGTTGCTGGACAACTGAGGCTGGGCTTGCCAAGATCTCATCCGGTGCCCTGCAACTTGGTAGCCCAGAGGTACCCTTTACCCTTTGTTGGGTTTAGGGTTTAGGGTTTAGGGTTTAGGGTTTAGGGTTTAGGGTTTAGGGTTTAGGGTTTAGGGTTTAGGGTTTAGGGTTTAGGGTTTAGGGTTCCCTTATAAAAGTAACCACCCCACAAAAGGGTGCCCTGATTAGAATATGGTTACTGGGCTACTAAGGCGAAGCCTGCGCTGATCGGCTGCAATTGCACAGAGAAGAGCCGCTGCATCTGGGGATGCGCATACTGGGGCAGCTTGGACATGCGCTGTAACTCGAGCCGCCTGGAGTACCCGAGGCCCGGAACGATTCTGGACTGCCGCGAAGGCACAGTCCCTGAGGAGTTGCGGGGTGGCAAGGGCAACTGGGCTTGCTAGGGTGTCCATAAGTTGCCGCCTGATCTGTACAGAACTTTTGTCTACGAAGTTCTTAGGAGCTTGCTTCTCACTCGTAGCCCATGATCTCATGGCCACGTCGAGCTTGTAAAGAAGGACAGCGCTTTCTTTTTGGTTGCTGGCAGAGGGCCATGTCCACTACTTGGCAGAAGACGGAGTCCTGTACAGACCGTCTTGGTGCTGCTGGAAGACGGGCAGCTGCTGGCAACGTGATGCAACGTGCCCGATCGGGGTTTTAAGTGCGACAAGCTTCAGAAGAACCGAGTCCCTGCAATAGTTGAGGGAACGAAAAGGCTGCTCCACCAGAACGACGTCCTCTTCCTCTAAGTTGATGGCTCGCTTGAACCCTGTTACGTCCGTAGGGTCTATCTTGGTATATCATCCACAAAAAAGGGTGTTCAAACATGCCCTCAAAAGACTCTGCCCCCAACTTGAGGAACCCCGCAGAAAGGGACCCGAATTTTTGGGAATGGGAAACCCCCATACTTCCCAACCCTGAGCTCCTCATTGCAGCCGGATTCAGTAGAGGCTGAAGCTTTGCGTTGTTTATTTGTTCGGCGGCATTGCGGCACGAAATCCTGAACTGGATCCTTGACTGCTTTCAGCACACGCTGGCACCGAAACCCTAAACCCAAAGCCCAACGCCGGCGGCATCTTCGCGGCGAACCATGTTTCCGGCACTGTGCAATCCCTGCACGCCAGAACCGCACCGAAGCAAATCGGCTACTCAGCCAGGACTGTCGAGTCCCTAATCCCTACACCCCAAACCCCAAAGGGGAAACCCCCAAACCTAAACCCTGAACCCTAAGTCCTAAACCCTAAATCCTAAACCCTAAGCCCTAAACCCCGAACCCTAAGCACAGAATATGCCATCCAGAACCCCAGACTGCCAATTTTAGGCTTGATGAACCCCCAGAATCCAGGGAGTAGTATGCAAACAGACCCCCTTTCAGGAAGTATAGAAATATCCCAGGGCCCTGACCCTAAACCCTAAACCCTTTGACCCTTAGCCCTAAACCCTAGCCCTAAACCCCTAAACCCCACAAGCTCCCAAATCCTAAACCCATGTCGCTCTGCAAAGCCTCGGCCGTGTCGTGGGCCCGCTTAGGGCAGCGCTGGCGACTCGCCCACCGAGGCCTGCGGAAGGGTCTTCAGGCCACAAGGCTGGGCTTAGGGGTTCCCTAAACCCTAAACCCTAAACCCTAAACCCTAAACCCTAAACCCTAAACCCTAAACCCTAAGAGCCTGAACCTTAACCCCTATCCCCCTGACACCCTAAGCCCGGTTTAGGGTGTAGGGTTTAGGGTTTATCGGGCTGGGTGGGTTTAGGGTGTACAGCTGGCTAGGGCTTAGGCTTTCAGGGTTGCGTAGGGCTTGGGGTTTCGGGTTTAGGGTTCAGGGTTCAGGGTTTAGGGTTTAGGGAAGTTCAGAGTTTAAGGTTTGGGGGCGGGAGTAAACCTCAGAATCTCAATAGTTTTCTCTCCATCATGGGCATAATCAAAGAATAGCCCGTTTAAGGTTTACCTGGGACTCTATTAAAGACTCTATGGACCTACAGTTTAGTAGTAACTACCCATAATAAGTAGGCGTAACCCATAAAACTTCTTGGTCATGGAAGTATGGAATGTACTTTTGTTGGGAGACGCAAGAAGCATCCATCATGTTTGTCAGCTCCCACAGATGGGAAGGACAATGAGGAATGAGGATTAGTCCAGGATCTCTGTCGTATTTGTTGTCTCCTTAATTGTTCGTTGTCGCTTGGCATTTTATCCCTAAACCCTAAACCCTAAACGCTCAGCTCGAATCATGTTTCAAGGTTGAGTGCCAAGGGTCCTTGCCCTCACTGAGATACCACCCCTCTACAGTCTTAGGATTAGTGTTGCTGCCCTGAACCCGAACCCTAAACCCTAGGCCTTACGCTCTACCAGCGCCCCCCCCCCCCCCAACTACCCTTCCCCATCACTATAGGGTATATAAGCCCCTTTTGTCAAAGCATAGTTTGGTGTGTGCAGGTAGGGGGGGCTTAGGGTTTAGGGTTTAGTAGGGTGTAGGGTTAGGATTGAGTTGAACCTCGCCCATTCAGGAGGCTTCATCCACGGCTGCAGTCGTGCACGAAGGCCTTGCTTGGACGAAGCTAGGAGGTTTGGGGGAGAATTCGGGGCTGATGCCCGAGATACATCCGCGATCACTACAGGGAAGTTATGGCCAGGGCCGATTCTTGCCCAACAAACAGTAGGTGCTTGGGAGGAGCCTTGGACTTGTTGGTTGCGGGCTTCTGAGGCTTGGGGGTTTGAAGAATTGAAGAGTGTGTGTCTGTTTGTGCGTGAGGGTGGGGGCTAACAAAATGTACATCTCCAACAAAGTCGACTCCATACCCTCAACCAAATGCTCCATTCATTTCAAGCTCTGGTCTCATGGGGGTTCGGGTATGTTTTCGTACTGTGAGTATGGGTATCCCCCAAAGCAGGGGCACCCCTGCTATACCCAAATGGTCTAATCAGTGTTAGGGGAAGCCTGAAAAGGGTTAAACTATTTGTGGACCCCCCCCCCCCCCCCCCCTCCATAAGCGTTTTTTTTTTTTTTTTTGTGTGTGCGAGTGTTTTTTTTGTGTGGGGGGGGGGGGGGGGGGGGGGGGTAGTACCCGAGTTTTTCGTTGCAGGTGTCTCTCGACAGCCACACAACTGCTCAAGGCTCAGACAGCCTAAGCAGTGCAGTAACCTTTTGAGCCCGATAGGTTTAGGGCCTAAACCCCAACCTTCAACCCCAAACCCTAGACCCTAAACTCCAAACACTAAACCCTAAGCTCTTCATGATTTAGACAAGGAACACTGGATAAAGCCTTTCTCAGCTTGGAAGGAAACTTCAACAAGCTACCCTCAAGCGCGAAGTCTTGAGGCTTCAAGCATCCTCAATCCCAAACCCTCAACCTGCTTAGCTACTCTGGAGCCCTAAACCCCCTAAGAAACCCCACCCCTAAACCCTAAACCCCAAACCCTAAACCCTAAACCCTAAACCCTAAACCCTAAACCCTAAACCCTAAACCCTAAACCCCCTAAACCAATCCCGAAAACCCTGAACTGGAAGATCAAGGCACCCTTTTCTCCCTTTCTTGCGCATATTTTATGATAATCGCGCGCGAGCTTGCATTAATAATAAAATAGTGAGCAAAGAAGCGAGGAAAAGGACTGACAAGTGACCGCCCCAGATTGTACGTAATAAATCCTAGAGTTGGGGCTTCGTGACAACGAGAAAGTGGTGAATCAAGAAGGGAGTGAGCCGTGAGTCAAAAGGTGTGATTGTAAAGACCAAGACACGAAGACTGTGGAAAGAAGCCCAAAAGCTGGGCTCCTTAACAGATGCGTGTGGGTGATTCTTGCGTTTACTTGGTGGTGGGGTTTTTGAGGCGGGCTAGAAGTCAACCAGTGAGTGAACCATTAGAAGAAGACAAGTGCATGAAATACAAGTGAATGCAAATATAAGTGAACAGAGTGAAACGCATGATTTGTATGAGCGGCCCCGTGATAATATGGACTGCCATTCAAGACCTCAACGAAACCGAACAAAACCCTGCATCCCTGAACCCTATAAACCTGAGTAGGTAGGGCCGTTAAGCATAAGGATTTAAGAGTTGCTGCATCAGTCCATGTGTCAAGTGTACGTTTCATGGGTGAAGTTGTGGGTGAAGCAGATTCCACAACAGTAGAGCTAAAGTTGGCGGAGCGCATCAAACTGGAAGACTACTACAAGCCGTTCCTCCGTGAGCAATACGAGGAGGACGCTCCGAGCAAGGCCACCTGCGCAGGCCTGTGTAAAGCTTGCAAGAGTCTGGAACAGTGTCCAGACCGAAATACCTGGGTGGACCGTGACATTGCAGATGACATGCGCTGTGTGCAGCGCGCGCTGCTCGTTGAAGCAGTCTGTTTGTGTTCCAAGTGTTCAGATTCTGAACCGAGCGTGTGCAGCAAAAGAATGGGTGCTTGCGAGTGTGCTTCCAAGCGGGGATGACACAGTTTTCAGCGTCTCGGAGTGCAGGTGCTTCGCGGGCGACGATGCCGAGGCTTCCATGATGGCGAAATTGCACTTAGGGTTTAGGGTTTAGGGTTTAGGGTTTAGGGTTTAGGGTTTAGGGTTTAGGGTTTGTATGACGCCACGCAGGTCAAGGAATGGGTGGATTCCTCAAGACTCGGAAGGCCATCCTCGAGTGAGACCTTGAAGCGAGTTCTGCTGGACATTGATAAACCCCAAACCCTAAACCGTCTCTCAGGGCAGCCGCAAGAGTGCACTAAACCTTAAACCCTAAACCCAAAACCCTAAACCCTAAACCCTAAACCGTAGTTGAGGGCTCATGTCGAGTTGTGCAAGGGCACAAGGAAACAACAGAGAGTGCCAGTTGATACGTAAAGGTCCATGCCACATACCCCTAAACCCCTGAAGCCCTTGACTACGCCCTCAGGCCATGAACCTTAAAGCCGCCTAACCCCAACCTTAAGCCCGAAACCTTAAACCCTAAACCTCTTAATCCTACACCTTAAACCCTGAACCTCCAAACCCTAAACCTTAAGCTCTAAACCTCTCAACCCTAACCCCTAAAACCCTACGTCCTAAGCCCTAAACCTCTCAACCTCTCAACCTCTCAACCCTCAACCCGAAAGCCTAGAGCCTAAACCCTGAACCTTAAACCCTAATCCTCTCAACCCTAATATAAACCCTAAACCCGAAACCCCTAAAACCCTAAACCCTAAACCCTACAGCCTACACCGCTTCCTGCGACCGAGGCCCCAGCTGCAGCGACTTGGTGGCTCTTCGTGTTCGGGGCTTTGGGGTTTAAGGTATCTACGGTTTAGGGTTTAGGGTTTAGGGTTTAGGGTTTAGGGTTTAGGGTTTAGGGTTTAGGGCTGAGAGATTTAGGGTTTAGGGTTTAGGGTTATATAGGTTGCTGGTCTCTTTAAGTAGGGACTCTGCTTTACAGGGGTAGATCTCCG